AGCATCATCGGAAAGGACTTCCAGCGATGAAGAAGAAGGCACGAGCTTTGGTACAAGATTCGGAGTTTGCAGAGTATAATTTAAGGACTTCCTCCTTGATTCGGGCGTTGCAAACAGATCTGGGTTTATCGAGCGTCCACTCCAGATCTGGGTTTGCAGAAGAAAGGGAAAGGAAAGGTGAAGGAGAGACAGTGAAAGGGGAAGAAGAAAATTTTTTTTTTCTGACGTGGATGCAAAAAAACAATATTATTATTGTTAAATTAAATAAAAATGCCAACTCAGAGAAAAAATAGTTAATTATGTATTTTTTTTCCATGTCATTGATTAAGAAAAAAAAAGAATTGATTTGTTGGCATTTTAACGTGCCACCTGGCGTTTAACTGACGGAAGGACCATTTTGGTACCAAAAATGAAAGTTTAAGGATAATTTTGGTACTTTTTAAAGCTGAGGGATAATTTTGGTACCAAAGTGATAAGTTGAGGGACCAAAATGGTACTTAAACCATAAATATATTGTGCAATATTTTCCTTGGCCAAGGTTTTGTTGTGGCTTGGGAGAATATAGACTATATGGGTGATTGGGTTGAGTGCAAGTGATACTTCCACAAAAAATTAAGTAGCAACGTGCACTACTAAAATTCCATTATTCAGCAACATGGAAGCACATCGGTGAAAGTGCTACCCATGTTGCTGAAAGTACTCTAGCAACATGCTCCATGTTGCTGATGCCTTTCTTGGTGAAGCCATGCTCGGTAATGTATCAGTAACAAGGCTATGTTGCTGATACTTGGCACCATCTTCAGCAACATACATCTTGTTGCTGAAAATGGAGATTTACCGACATGGTTTATGTTGCTAAAAAATTCACTGGACCGGCCACTGGCATTTTTCACCATTTTTAGCAACATACTCCTTATTGCTGAAACCATAATATCACTGATGTAATTCATGTCAGTAAAAATGGTTACGGAATTCTCTCCCCATCTGGTGTACTCTTTTCAGCAACATGAGCCACCAACCCAACCATGCGTTGGTGAAAATTTGTATTACCGACGTGCAATTCCATGTTGCTAATACTTAGTTGCTAAAAAAGAGGATTTTAGTAGTGGTGATTGGCCACCAACCCAACCATGCGTTGGGTGGCTGAGCGCGTGTGGTTGATTTGGGGTTTGGTGTGTCTTTCTCATTTCCTACAGTTTTCTCCTTCCCTTCCACTTTTTCAAAAAACTAGCTACCACATTATTTATGTGTTTTAACATTTCATCAAATCCCACCCTAAATTCATGGTCCCAACCTTGTCTTTTGGTTGATGTAGCATGAGTTTTGGTATTTGTTTAGTTTGATTTTGTGAATTGCAAGGAAAGCACGAGAATTAAACTTGCTTCACGCCTAAATGAACACTGTAATTTTTCTTGTGGGTTTGTCTACTTCGGATCATCATCTTGCACTTTTTTTTTTTTAATCAGCAAAAACCAACTCAAAAATATATTATTAGAGGAGTATAAGGAATACTCCAAATCAAAATACAACTCTAACACCAAAACTCAATAGTCAAATTACAAGCTCATAACAGAAACACATGTAACTGTTTGTACTTTGGAGAAAAACAGAAGGAATAAATCATCTCATAGCTGCAGTCTGCAGCTTGTCTCTTCTCAAATTTTTACAATGTTGAATAATAGCTTGTCTACATTCTATAGGCCTTGATACCCATTCATGATAAGTGAAGACACAACTATTCTCTTTATTTTTTAACCATAAAAAAGATTTGTTCTGAATTACTTCCAATAGCATCACCTTAGACCTCAAATTTGTCCCAAACACTTTCTTATTCCTCCAACACCAAAGAAACCAAGCAACAACTAAAAAGATGAAAGCTCCTGAATCTTTCACACATCCCCCTCCTATACCAAACACCACAGATTCTGCCATCCCAAAAATATTATTTGGCAAGACACCCTGCCAACCCCACCAACTCAAAACCTGCATCCACATTAACCATGTCCCCTTACACTCACAAAAAATATAATAAAGTTTCCCCTCCTCATTACAAAACCAACAACCAACATTCTCCTCCAACGAAACCCTTCTCTTCCATAAATTCTCCTTTGTTGTCAACCTATTAAAAAATAACCTCCATCCAAATACACTTAATTTAGAAGGAGCATACTTACACCAAATAATCCTAGTCCATTTCCCATCAAGGATACAATGAGAAGATGTTAAGAAAACATAGGCAGCTTTCGCCGAATATAAACCATCACAACTATGAACCCACCTCCAAAAATCAGCTCTACCAAGTCTCACCTTTACCACCATAATCAATTCCCTAAACTTTTCCACCTCACTGCCTACCCTCCTCACACAACAATGTCTCCATCTACACTCCCATGCCCAATTATGTCCACTCCAAAAACCCATATTCTTCACCAACCCCTCCCTATTTGTTGCCAAGGCAAACAACCTTGGAAATAATTTTTTAAAGATTTATTTCCCACCCACTTATCACCCCAAAAATCCACACAACTTCCATTCCCAACTTCGCATTTAAAACCCTTTGCTAACATTAACTCCAATAGTTCACACCCTTTACCAATACTAACAATATCCCTCAACATATGAGATATACTTAAAGAACTAAAAACAAGAATATCAACCTCTTTCCTACCCTCATAATACTTCTGCCAAATCACTCTCTTTCATAAACCCTCTATTCCATCACCTAACTAAAACCACCATTTACCTAATAACGCCCAATCCTTCCTCTCCAAATCTGACACTCCCAACCCCCCTTTCTCCTTATCCACACACATATTAGCCCAACTAACCCATGCAATTTTCTTCTCCAAATTAGCACCCCCCAAAAAAAGTTCCTTTGAATTTTAAGCATCTTGAGAAGAACACACTTAGGAATCTTAAATAAAGAAAAATAAAAAATAGGAAGAGCAAAAAGTATCGAGTTGATTGAGGTGATCCGACCTCCAAAGGACAGGAAAGGGCCCTTCTAGGTGACAAGATCAACTCAAAATTGGTCCAGCATGGAATCCTAGAAGCTTTTCCTCCCCAAACTCCCTCCAACCAGTAAACCGAGCACTACTAGAAACACCTCTAATTCAAACTGAAAAATTGGTCTGAAAATATGAAAAATTGGTATGAAAATAAATATTCAAACCATTAGTGATCCAGATAGTTGGTCTGAAAAAATCAAGTCTGAATAACTTTATATTTAGACCGACAAAATATCGGTCTAAATATAATATATTTTCAAACCAAAGTTCATCTGAATAATGGTCGAAATTTTGACCATGTTGTAGCTTCAACCAGATCGAAAATGGTCTGAATATACAAACAATTTCAGACCGACAATGGTCTGAAAAATAGTGGC